CATATTTTCTTTGCGCAACTTTAACCATTTACGCAGCGCTCAGAGCGAATCTCTCAATATGAATTTTGCCACAATTTTCATTGCAGCTCCACGCCTATTGATCGTAGCGTGATATATAGCTCATAGCACTCGGCGATACCCTTCAAAGAGTGAAAGAATATTTCCAAAAAAAAAGACAATGAAATATGAATTTCTTTTCTGATTACCAATAAATAAGTTATTGTGAGTTAAAATTAAAAGATAGACATATCTTTTTTTGGAACTTTTAAAGGAGAACAATTTTGTCATACATTTTATTTACGTAACTTTAACAATTTAGCAGTGCACACAGCAAAAAGCTCTCAAAATGAATAACAGTGAAAGAATATTTCGAAAAAAAAAAAAAGAAATTCGAATAGAAAAAGTGTAAAAAAAACTTATAAAGCAATTTCTTTTTTTATTAAAACACTTACTGGTTTTTTTCCGCGAACTGGCTAAGACGAGAATAGAAATAGAAATATATATAAAATTCGTCCGCTTATTTTCCATTATCGCTTTATTGTACGCTCACTGGGGTAACAGCGAGCTCGTCCGTTTAAATAATGTGTGTTTTTCTATGTATATTACTTTTAAGGATTTTTGTAAGCTGAAAGTGAAGATGTCTCACCCTATCGTATCTATATTAAACAACAAATTGTATTAAATCAATCGAACTAGCATAATTTGTTGCCACAGAGTTAGATCAGAAATTTCGCGGATAGAGGGGGAATTGTTAGTGATGTGGAGTATTTTTTTTTATACACCGTATGTGGCAAACAACCATACGCCCTATCTGATGGTAAATGGTAACAGTAGCTTATGGACGCCTGAAACTCTAGGGGCTTCACGTGCGCGTTGCCGACCCTTAAGAAACCTTATAATATAATATAATATAATACAATACAATACAATACAATACAATACAATACAATATATAAACCTTAGTAATTACCACATTGTTAGTAATGTAACATAATAACAACAAATGAGTGACAGCCTCGGTGGTCTAGTGGTTTAGCACACCGCTTTACTATCCGATGGTCCTGGGTTCGATTCTTCGCACGGTACAAACATTTGTATTTATAAATACGATTATTTGTATGGGTTTGGGTGTTTTCTATGTATAATATGTATTTATTTATAAAAAAAATGTATCCATGTATTTATCAGTTGTCTAGTACTCATAAGACATACTCTGCTTAGCTTGGGACTAGATGGCATTGTGTGAATTGTTCTGAGAAATAGAAAAAAAAAGTGTTGATCTCCACGTGGAAACCATCGTGATAAGTGAATTGGTCACGACTTCATCTTATTAATATTATAAACACGAAAGTTTGTGAGTATGGATGGATGGGTGTATGTTTGTTACGCTTTTACGCAAAAACTATAATATAAAGTTACATCAGAATAACATATAGGCTATAAATCTCACGCGGGTAAAACCAACGGCACAGCTAGTATATACATAAAACATTTTTAGGCATTCTGTGGTCGTTTCAAAACTAATGAATCCCAAGATCGAGTTATAAATGATAGAAGTAGTTATAATCTTTATTCAAATAAACTTAATATAAGCACATTTTCTTATTCTACCACTCATTCGGAACGCAGACTCATCACAAGAAGAATGAGTACGAAACTTGCGTGTTGCTCTTTTAAATAATTGTTCAGAACTTAAAAATATTTAAGAATTTAAACGAAATTCTTAATAATATTTTTATTTAATTCACGTAAAATATGTGAATACAAACTGCCAAATAGCAACGTGGACATAAATAAATAAATAGAAAATTACTTGTTACTATTAATGAACAAATAAATCTAAATATATATAACTCAAATGTGACTGACAGTCAGATCACTAATCTACATATCAACGCACAGCTCAAACCACTGGACGGATCGGGCTGAAATTTGGCATGCAGGTATATGTTATGACGTAGGCATCCGCTAAGAAAGGATTTTGATTAATTTTACCCCCAAGGTAAAATAGGGGATGAATGTTTGTATGAAACTTTGTCAATCTTAAACCGATCGGGCTGAGAAAGGATTTTAATAAATTCTACCCCTAAGGGGATAAATTAACGCGAGCGAAGTCGCGGGATTCGATGGACACCTGAGTCTGATCAGTGTGGGCATCGAATCCATACTTGACTCTAGGGTGGAGGATTGTTAGGGCAATCCGAAGCTCACCGGGGCGGCATTAGGGTCTGGGAGGTGGCGTGCAGAGACTGTTCCCTGCACGCCTAGATGAAAGGTCCCTTCGATGGGAACCATGCCGGTGGTCTTGGAGAATGCCTTGTGCGATCCCATGGCCACGGCGATTATGTCGAGGAGGAACAGTCGTCAGGTTTTTAGGAGGAGTCCGGTAGTATCCATTCTTCCCTAAAGGAATGGGATTTTCCTGAAGTAAAAAAAAAAAGGAGTTACAGATCACAGCACCAGAACTTTATAAATACCGACTATTATTTAATTTAAGATATATATAGATGATGAATATTATAAATAGGATAGAAAAAAAAAAACAGAATAAAACTCAGGTTATAAATTTCATGCCAGTGGAAAACCGCGGGCATAGCTAGTTTGTGTATATACACGATATTAATATTAATGTGTTGGCAGTATTTGTGGGCCACAGTGCGGTTTATTTACACAAGTACGGTTACCAAGATCAACAAGTGACGCGGAACAGGAAATTCCTTTATAAGTTCCATAAACAGGGATGCGTGTCGTGGTTACGTTTGATTCCAACTTACTTATAAAGTTAACTAGAAGAGGATAGTAGAACCGCTTGAGAGGTTGTATATTATTAATTACAAATTTGAATTATTTTGTCAGAGAGTCATCTAAGGTGACGGTGTTTATTTCCGATGGCTGCGGGTACGATTCCTTGACAAAACACAGAAGATTGATAGTAGTAAAGCTTAGTTTTGCCATACGGTCTCGGTGGTCTAGCAGTTTAACACACCACTTTACTTCCGCTGGCCGCGGATTCGATTCCTCGCACGGTACAAACATTTGTATTCATGAGTATGATAGTTGGACGCTCTGAGTGTTTTCTATGTATATTATCTATTTACGAAAAAAAAATATCTCAGTATTCATATCAGTTATCTAGTACCCATAACACAAGCTCTGCTTACCTTGGGACTATATGGCGCTGTGTGAATTGTTTAGGGTTATTATTATAGATCAGTATTTAATTTATGAATTTTCCTTGATATAGTATTAAAGTTATAGATTTTGTTTGGTTACATAGTTAGAAAAAAAATATATAGATCAATGTTATGTGTTTTCACGATTTTCATTTCATGTAATATTACAGTTGTTATAGCTGTTGCTAATAAGGAAATTGCTGATGAGGAGCACAGCCTTGTACTTTGTGTCCGTACTTCGAAATGGCAAGTCAGCGCTTCACATCTTCGTTGCGCCACCGCGCCAGGCAACTGCTGACTTGACACCGAGTGTAGTGTTTCCGCGGCTCAATTCAATTCGGAATTGCGGAAACACCGATCCGAAGATAGATATAGTCATATTTTAATTTGTAATATTTTATTTTTAATAAAATAAATTCGGTATTTTTTTAACTCCTGAGGCTGCGACACACGTAATTCAGTGATATAGATAATAGATTTTTCTCAGTTTTGTTGTCCGAGATTCGTCTGATATTACTCGAATATTTTAAAACTCTAATTTATTTTGAACTCATATTATTTTTAAAATTGTAGTACTTAAATAACTGATTTTACTCAAATATTAAATTTGTAGTACTATGTTATGGTTTTAAAAAGTTTGGTAACAAAACTTTGTAGCAACAATGTTGCTTAAATAAAATGTTTTTTTATTCGTATGAAACGAAATAATATCTAATTCCAATAATTAAAAGTTAATAATGTTTATCAATTTATCCGTAATAATTTTTTAGTTCATTCCTTAAGGAGTGGTAAAGACGTTTTGTGCCTGTATTATCAACTTTTGTTTACTGAATCCTAATCTGAGAATGGTAAACATTTAGTAAAAATGACGGACGGAATTAAGCGGAGAAGTAAACATATTTTTCTCAGGTCTATAGCAATTATTGGAACAGCGCCTATTTAGGTAATACGGGGCAAAATATATATTACTATATATTATTCTTCTGTACGTGTGTTTGTCATATAAATCATCTTAAACAATGATCCTGGTCAGATACAGAGTGATCTGAAGCCCTGTAGAGGAATGAAGGTTGGGGTCTCGAAGCGAACGCCTTTGCCCCGAGTAACCCTTTGTTGTCACAACAGAACTCCCAGGAAACTAGGTTAAAATCTAATCGGCAGGTACTAACATTACTAACTAATACTAGTGATAATATTAAAATGGTATTTATAATTATACATCTTGGTCTAACTTAAGAATTGGTGCCATATTTGGGAATATTTTGTAATTTTTTTTTTAATCAATCATATCTGGTAGTAGGCACTGCTTTTCCAGCCAGGACGATGTCTGCTATGCCAGCTAGTCCACAAGTGACCTATCCATTTTTCTATTTAATATAATAGGTTAAAAATAATTAAATCACTAGTTAATAGATTTATATTATTTTGGTTAATTCCGCTACATTTAGCATGTGTGAGACCAGAAATATTCGGTGCTGAAACTTGACTACCATTACAACCTTCTGTAATCAAATGTGAAGGTGAAGGTGATCAAATTCCGACCGTTACTGAGTCCATACCCATACCGCGATATGTGCTTCGTCTCTGAACGAGGCATCATCTGGCATTGAATAGAGTTTGAATATAGCTTAGAAGCATTGTACTGAGTGTTCAACGACCAAACTACGACACAGTCGCGATTTGATAGCCGACAAACTACTTGTAGTGGAATTAAATAAATCTATTAAGTAGTGAAATGTACTTCCGCAAAATCTTGCAACACCTAATTCATATATAATAAATAAATATAAAAAAAGAATAAAATCCTTAAATTACATATTGTTTCAGGACAGGAAAGTTACATTACCCCACAAATGTATGTGGCCCGCTCTTCGAAGAGGAGCTGGAGTTTTGGGGGCTGGACTCCAACCAGGTGGAACCATGCTGCTGGTCCACATACAGCATACACAGAGACACCCAGGTTTGTATTTGGTTATGTAATTTTCAGGTATAATCTTATACTATATAGACTTTGTATAAAGTCATCTGCGTACCTCTATTTCTCTTATTTCTGTATCCAAACAGTTTACTTTATGTCATGTTTTTGTTTATATCTATATAATTTATTGTTATATGTCATATGACAATAAATTAGAATTATACAGGTGTGAAAGTATAATACAGGAATAATAATAAGGTAGTAGTTTAAATAATTTTATGGTTTTAAATAATTTACACATCTTGAATGGTAAATATTGCTGAACATCTTATTAATTGTTGTGTAAGATCTGCTTTATGGAATTACCAGTATTTTAACATTCATTTCATTTCATTTTATTTCAGCAATGTAGAGCTTGTATTAAGTCTACTAGATAAACGATTTATATAACTGAATACACATTTTATTAATACATACATAATATACATAGAAAACAACTAGACTACTACAAATCTCATCGTACTTATGAATACAAATGTTTGCATCCTGAGGGGAATCAAACATGCGACTATTGGATGTTGATGTTGATGTTGATGGTCGTGACTAAACTGCTAGACTACATAGACCGTTAATAAGTAATTGAAACTTTTGTAAAAGATAACTTAAAACAAATTGAAAGTAAATATTTACGCAACATTTCAGTATTAACGTAAATATAATTAAAAACAAATAGAGTAATTTGTATAGAATTATATATATATTTAAATTATGAGTTATAACGAAATATACATCAGTATTTTATCCGTGGGGCAAATTGACTATTTGTAAACATTCCCCGATTTATAACTAGAAAAGGTTGAGTATCCTCAATTGAGTAGGGCAAAATAAGTCGCCGTAACAACGTGATGGGGCCTGCCCTTCATCATTCTACAGGGCGGGTCAGCAACGCTGGAGTCGCGGTAGAATGCTACCTCGTTACTCCGGTAATGTGGCTCGTAGCCCTGTACTTGTAAACCTTGTGATTTTTTAGTGACTAAGACACACATCCCTCGTCATCCCTTCGGTGTGGTAGGGGGATAGTCTATGTGAAGATTTTTCCACATACCATGTTAAAAAAAAGGGTTGCGTACTCAAATAATAATAATATTCCCAGGACAATTCGCGCAGCGCTATCTAGAACCAAGTTAAGCTAGCTAAGGATTGTGTTATGGGTACTAGATAACTGATACTTGTACATAGATATATATATTTTTTCATAAATATATACATTGAAAACACCCAGACCGATACAAACAAGCATACATATAAATAAAATTGTTTGTGCTGTGCGAGGAATCGAACCCGCGACCACCGAAAGTAAGGCAGTGTGCTAAACCGCTAGACCACCGAGACCGTATGGCAAAATCAATCTTCTGTGTTTTCGTACTTCGCTGATCTCTAAAATATATTGTATCACATACTTCATTTATCTTCACGTCAATATTTTATCAAGATCCGTTAAGCCGTTTTGTCATAAAAAGTGACAAAGAGACATACAAAAAGCAGAAACGTAGACAAAATTTCGCATTTGTAATATTAGAATAGAGTGGTTATTTTATCATCAGCCCATATTAATGGTATTACTATATATATATATAGGCCTATGCGTCTGTTATAGACGATATTATGAAATGTTTAAAATGGATTATGGAAACTATTTATAATCACCAAACGAAATGTTGGATGTCAAAGTGTGAGATATTTGCCACAGTTCTAGTATTAAAAGCACACATAAATATGTTTTTAAAGCAATAAAAATATCAAATTTGAAAAATACTTTTTTTCCCTATCCAAACCATATACGTTTTTTTGTCAAAAACATGGCAATCCTAGGTCTAATTGTCTTCTTTGAAGTAGGTAAACATTTTGGTTGCACCAGCATTATTGTGATTCATTCAACACTCACGTTGTCGGCCGTTTATTTAGTCTATTTTCATTAATTGAACGAACGATAAAACAAAATAAATATAGCTTTGTTTATAAAAGCAACCACTCTTTATAAACATACTAAAAACTAAATAGAGACTTGTTTATATTTATTAAAATTGAATAGTTCCTACGAAATGGGAGTACAGTTACTGTATGCGAATATATCAGGGGCTTAATTACGTAACGTGGTTGCTAACAGTTCTTGATTGAAACAGGTTAAAATCTGTAGTTTTATGATTGCAATATGACATGAAAGTTTCAATTTCAAAATATCTTTATTCATGTAGGTCTATTACAGACTGTTATGATAAGTGAGTGGTGTGCTGGCGCTATCGTGGCAGATTGCTGTCGTCAGTGCTATGATGATGATATATATAATTCATACATCTGTATGTTATTATTATTATTAAAAATAAGCTGCTGGACGATAAAACTGAGACGAAACGATAATACAACAGATAATACAAAATAAATTGGAGTTTCGTTTTTTTGACTACGTGCATATGATATATAAATATGTAGTAAAAAACGGTATATACATACAAAAAATCTTTTTTTCAATTTTTGTCTGGCTATCTGTCTATCTGTTTGTTCCTGCTAATCTTTGAAATGATTGGACCGATTTAGGCGGGACTTTTTTTGGCAGGTAGGTGATGTAATAAGGAGTAACTTAGGATACTTTTATTTTAGAAAAATTAAAAAAACCACGCGTACTTAGACCAAGCAGCATCTAGTTCCAAGGTAAGCAGGGCTTGTGTTATGGGTTCTTAACAACTGATACCAATACATTATCATCATCATCATCATCAGCCCGGAAGACGTCCACTGCTGAAAAAAGGCCTCCCCTAAATATCTCCACGACGATCGGTCCAGCGGTGCTCGCATCCAATGCCTTCCAGCGATCTTGAATAGATCGTCGGTCCACCTTGTTGGAGGCCTTCCCACTCTGCGTCTTCCAGTCCGAGGTCGCTACTCGAGCCCACTGCCCAACGGCCATCTGTCCTACGAGATACAAATACATAGATATTGTTTTTTAAATACATACATAATATAAATAACAAACTCTCAGATTGATACAAGCAACATACTTGCACATTATTAAAAATATTTGTTTCGGGTGAGGAATCGAACCTGCGACCATCGTAATTAAATCAATGTATAACCACTATACCACCGTGCATATAAAAAAAATACTTTATTAATTAATTTCTGGTTTACAATAAATACCATAGCAACACTTAAACCACAGAATATAGGGTATTATTACTTATATAAGGGCTAGATCAATAACTTTTGAAGTCCGGGCACCCCGTATCCTTTGACCCCTGTTACACTTGTATACGATAAGGGTAGTTAGCCATGGTTTTGTGTCGGGTTACTTACAAATCAGTTCGCCACTTGTAAAATATCGTTAACCCGTAACGCTTCGTTGATATCTGGTGCTTCGCTGCCACAGAATAAATAGTTGTAGTAAATTATTGAGTGTTGATATTGTTTTTTAAATTACGATATAAATTATAATATTTTATATAATAATAAGGCCCGCATGTTTGAGTCATCTCGTTATTTACTTCATATCATCTTTCACACAGTCCATCCATATCTTTTTCAGTCTTCCTCTGCCCTATAACTATCCACATTCATATGTAACACCTTCCTTAAGATAGCAAAAATATATCGTGTTCATATTTGAATTTATTTCGGTGATCTACAATACAAAAAAAAATGGAAACCAACGCCGCTACCGAATATAGGAAACGTCCTATCAGGATTACCAAAATTTCACTCTTGACGCGGAGCACTTATTTCGTTTTACTGCCGCGCAGACATCTACAAACTTTCCCTCCATTCAAATGTTAAGCAGATTACTTGGTGGAAAAGAGAAAACATCGCCGCCTGTAATATATTTGAGCGCTTATCGCTTTTTATGTGAAACATCAGATGGATACGCTTTCTTTAAAGTCGTAAAGTGGCCGTCAAATAGATTAGATTAGACAAATAATCTTTATTCAAATATAGTCAATAGAAAACGTAAATATGGTTTTTTTTCAAATTCAAATTCAAAAATCATTTATTCATGAAGGACATTTTAGTCGCTTAGGAACGTCAAATTTTTACATTCTAATTTTATTTTTTTTCCCTACCGTCCAGTTCGGTATATAGATCCAATTGAGAAGAACTGGCAACTTTTTTTCTAAAGCCAGTTTATTTACAATGTATATTTATATAGGTGTCTATGTCTAACATTAAATGAAAATCCCGAACATGAAAACTATTGCCATGCACATTCAAGTAGGCTCTTTTCGGACTACTCTAACGCTATATTTAATCGAATTAGGTGTTATTTGCGGAAGTCCATTTTAATATTACTACGGAAGTCGCGGTTTGGTCGCCGATGAGTCAACATAGGCTTCCGAGCTGTACGCGAAGTCTCTTCAACGCCTGATGATGCTTCGTTCAGAGGCGAAACACGTGTCGCGATATGGGTGTAGACTCTATAACGGTCGGAATTTGATCGACATTAGAGAAGGTCGTAACGGTAGTCTAGTTTCCACACCGAATATTTGTGGTCACACATGCTAATTGTAGCGGAATTAAATAAAATAATATAAATCCAAGATGTACTCTAATGCTGTTGGTCGCAGCTGGCCTTTACAGCTTCACCGGACGATAGGAGGCGAGTACAGTTGACATTTTAAACCCGCGGAAGGACTTATGGACTAACTCCCGCCTGACGGATGCGATTTTAGTCTGAGGGGATTGCTAGGGGTTCGAATTTCGATCCCCGTTTGAATTGGATGGGGGATCTATGAATCTGTATTTATGTTTTATATTTTTTATTAACTATAAGTGCTATCGCTTACTATTATGCATACTAATACTACTCAATTTTAATATTGATATCCGTTGTATAGTATCCATAACTTAAGCTTTGCGTGGGACTAGATGACACTGGAAAAAAAAAGGAAATGATAGTCACATTTTTTTATTTTACCACTAATTCGGAATGCAGATTTACAAGAACGAGTAAGAAAGCTGCTAAGATATATATAATATAAAACCTACCTTCATTA